CATACCCGTGATAATCTGGTGCAAGAAGTGTCGGGCTGTCAAAATACAAAAACAGATGTTTTTAGCAGTATATTTGAAGTTGTAGTCATAAAAATATCAACCCTGAAGTCTGCTGTTGGTTTTGTCTTTGTTTTCTTAAATAAGATGTTACAAGGGTATTTAAGTGTCACACTAACAAGATTAGAAATGACACTTCTTTACTTTGATACAGCTTTTCAGCAATGCAATATAACCGCGTTCTAATACAGTCCATAAAATAATGTTTCTATAATATTGTAGCCTGATTTGTTTCTTTGCAAAAATTTTAAGCTGGCCTAAGCTCCTTCTCAAATTAACTTCTAGAGAATCTAAAAGTGAAGTTGCTCCCCATTTTCAAAAAGAAAATAATACATAAAGTCAAACAATTTCCATATGCTTAGTTTCTAAAACATATGAGGCAATTACAAGTTTTTTTTTTTTTTTTTTTTCAAATTAACCACCACTAGCAAACTTGAAAGGCTGTCAAGATCTCAACTCTTAGCTTTATCTTCTATGTTTTTTTTTGTGGTAGTGGGATAGATTGTCTGCTCTAATACATTAGAAATTTAGGGGGAAGAGTTCTATCTTAAAGCAGAAACCGCACCAGACAAACTGCATTATTTATTATCATGCTGCTGTTAGAGCAATTTTAAGAATTATCGTTTCTCAAGCAAGCAATTTACAATCCTTCTTCCTCTGAAGAGAGGGCAAAGACTGGGGAATAAAGAATACTAGTGAAAAACACTCCTCAAAGGAACATGCTTCTTATTCAAACCAATGGCTTAACAGCTTTCAGATAACAAGACACTATCAGCCAAAGTATTTTTGCTACAGCAGATCTGAATTAAAGAGATTACATGTGTGTATATACACATATATGTATGTGTGTGTGTGTGCATATATATATTTTAATAAGTGTCCCTTTAATCCAGCTCTGTGATCTGGCTTCAGAAAAATCTGTGCATTTAATAATTTCATAGAATTAAATAAGAAACTGACAAAATCAGCTAAACTGGAAGAACCTGTGCAAGTGGTGACCAGCATGAAAGTTCTGGGAGCTGGAAGGTGCAATAACCACTGATCCCGACTGGCTGGAAACAGGACAGTTTGTCTTTGGTTGTGCGCGGAAACACTGTACATAGCAACTTGCTTTGCTATTCCTTAATTTATTCTTTTGAAATTGTGTTGTTCTGTCTAGGGTTTCAATGGTCCATGTTCTAACTGAAATCTTTCACTCTTAACTGTAAGGAAATGAAACTTGTAAATTTTAAGTGCAATTAATTGTTCTATGCAAGACTTATCTCAAAAGATTATTCAGAAAATTAACAATCAATTTAAAGAATTACATGGAAATTTGATTGTCAGATTAAAATAGACTATTTTGGTTCAGTGAGGTCCACTTTTCCCACAGAGAACATCAGACTTCAACTACACTTTAACAAATTAAGTTGGTGTATAAAGTTAAACTCTATCTTAAGCTCACTGATATGTTTTTTTTTTTTAACTTCAAGTAGTACAAGCTACTTTAAGTGGCTTAAGCTGAAACAAAAGCATACAGAAACTCAAGTGAATAATGCAATCCCAAATCATCTCTAGATTAATCTCAATATTATCCCTGGATTGTAAACTGTACAAACTGTTTTGGAGTGACAGCAGCTTTCACTAGAATGAAATATCCATTGAATATGCCAAAACCATGCAGAAAGACAACTATGCAGAAAAAAGCTCACCTTCTTCTTCCGAAAAGGGTTTCTTTCTGTTCTTTATGTATCTGCTCATTTCACCGTTGTGACACATCTCAAGTATCAAATACACATAGTTGCTATCTTCGAAGTAGTTATAAAGCTAGAGCATAAGACAGTTAAAGCATTAAAACATTTTCCAGATTCTATAGCAAGTTATGCCTGCAGTCTTATCTACGGAAATGATTCTTACCTCAAGAATAGATGGATGCTTTAGCTGGCAATGTATTTTGACCTCATTTTGAACCCTTTGTACCATTCCAACTTTGTGCATGGCCTTTTTGTCTATCTGAAAATGGACCGCAGAATACGTAACATTGAAACAGCAACACGAACACTACCATTACTGATTGACACCGTTCATTTGTACAGCAGCGTTCAGTGCAGAGCTCTCCCTTACCATCTTGATGGCCACTTCCAGACCGGTTTTCAGGGACACCGCTCTGTAGACGCCCGCGAAGGAGCCCTTCCCCAGGAGGTTCCCCACCTTGAAGTCCTGCAGGGCAGACAGAGAGGCGCTCTCAGTGCCGGCCGCACCAAGCCCGGTGCCCGGTGCCGACGGCTCCCTACCCGCACGGAGGTCTCGGCGCGGCGGCGGGCGGCAGGGCCGCCCCGCACGGAGCGCGGCCCGCGCCGCGGCATCGTCTTCGCCGCTCTGCGCACAG